CCCCCCCCCATGTGCTTGGCAAGGGCAGATGCGCCAGGAGTTTAAACAAGACGGGTTGGGTGGTCTGCCGAGTCCACTGCCTGGATCTCAGCCTGAAAAGGAGGAACACCAGGCGTCATCTGGAGGTTGGTCCCGTCTCAGGATTTGTTCAGCTACCCAGCCGGAGACCAGGGTCCCTACCAGGGCTCACGGGCCGAGCCGCCTCCGTCAGGTTACGTGCTTGAGCCTCTGGCTTGCCCCCCACCAGGGAGCAGGTTTTCAGTCCACCCTCTGGCAGCTCTCCATCCTTTGGGGGCAGCTCTGGTCCCAAGAGGTCTGCTGACTCCACTTTGCCCCATCAGTCGTGACTGGCAAGTTTCTCGATACTCCACCGCCTTGCCAAAATCTCTGGAAAATCCTGTGTGCCGGTGGAAGAAAGCCTTGCATTCCAACATTGGGCTTCCAAAAGCCAGGCCGCATTTGCCGCCTCTGCACCACCCTTAGGTCCCCCAGGGGCCGTGCCGTGTGTACCCCCGAGCACCTGCACCGTGAGCCTGCCCGCCACAAACACCACAAAGCCTGCCGGCCCTTGGCCGCCCCCCCACACACACACCGTCTCCCAGGTCCACAGCAAACCGAGGCTCACCAGCCCCCAGGGGCCGGCTTTGCCTTGTCCCCCAGGGGCCCACGCAATGGGAACAGCTGGGTAGATGAAGTGGAGTCCAATCCTGAGCGGGGTTCCCCAGACATGTCTTTGCAGGTGACTCTCAACTACCTCAGGTGTGAAGGCCCTAAATTAAGCTGATTTCCCACCCACAGGGACAAACTTTGGCAGGGGGGTGGGGGGGTAACCTAATAGTCTCAAACTTATAACAACCCTCTGACCTTGAGGTTTGCAGGGGCGGGTGGGGGCGGGGGTGCCTGTTCCCATTTTAACCTTTACTCTACTTTGCCATTAGACTCGAGTGTCCCTAGGAGACGACCTCATTTCCCACGGAGTGCCTACCTGCCCAGGGCAGGTAGGCACCGGCTTTCTGTTTGATTACGGGATTAAGATCTTTCTTTGTATAATACATCGCATTTGTGTGTTCAAGTTTTCAATAAATATATCCACCTGGCCACGGAGAGGCATGCTCACTAACGAGCCAACTCGGCTTTGGGGGTGGGGGGTGGGGGGCTGTGGAGTGAAGGGGCCAGCGAAAAGCTGGCATTGGGGCCCAGAATCCACCCTTCAGCACGGTGACTGGGAATCAACCCCACGGTTTTCTGGGCAGGTCAACTGCCGTCACATCTCGCTGCTTTCGAACGCAGCACATCAGGGAAGAGCACGAGGTGAACGCTAGAGCCGTAGGCCCAGGAGGCCAGAGAGCCAGGAAACGGAGATGGGGCGTAGGCTGCAACTGCCAGGTGCAAGGTGGGCAGGGCGACACAGGAGATGGGGGTGCCCGCCAGCAGCTGGCTGGCTCGCTCTCTGGTCCCTGTAGCCCGATGCCAGGGTGTGATCCTGCTCCCTTTAAAGCACGGCTGCGAATAAATGGCCCGTCTTTGGTCACAGCTGTCTGCCCCGGGTCACTCCTGCGGTTCAAGTGGCAAGTTGGGTTCAGAAAGCCAAGGGGCGTTCCAGTCTTGGACAAGCAGAAGTCTGTTGGCCTGGCCTGGCCAGCGGGGTCATCCAGGATTGTGGTCCTAGCTCAGACCAAATAGGCCCCATGGTTCTCCTTCTCCCCACACTCAGCATGACGCTGGGAGTTCAGCCTCAGGATCTTCCCAGGGTCCTCTGGCCGGGCTGCCATTCTAAGAGGGCCGTGTCCAGCTAGTGGGCCGCACCCTCGCCAGCAGAGCGTGGCTAACTGGGAATGTGAGAGAGGCAGGCACCAGGCGGATGGGAGCTACGGTTTCGATCACAGGCTCTCAAAGCCAGCCTAATGAGGGCCTGTGGTTAGGTGCGATTGAGTGGGTTCTGACCCACAGCGGCCCTGTACACAACAGAACAGAACACTGGCCCTGGGCCTGCGCCATCCTTCCGGTTGTTCGCAGGCCGGGGCCCATTGCTGCAGCCAAGGTGTCAGTCCATCTCCTTGAGCGCCTTCCTCTCTCGCTTCCCCGACACGCTACCAAGCAGGATGTCCCTCTCTGGGCACTGGTCTCTCCTGACCACATGCCCAAAGTGTGCAAGACGAAGTCTCACCATCCCTGCCTCTAAGGAGCTCTCTGGCCAGACTTCTTCCAAAAAAATATTTGGCCTACCGCCCCCTTTTCAAAGAAAAATGTTACTCAGCCTCCCACACCCTGGCAATTTTAAAGGTATGCCAACCCATAACCCTGGATCAAATGTATCTTTGCAGCCACCCCACTTCCGCCCTGGACGGTACCAGCACCCCTTCTGGTGGGGTGGGCAGCATCTTCCACTTTGGGAATAAAAACAGGTTTCTGTCCATGAGAAGCATCCATTGCCATCAAATCTATTGTGACTCATGAGCCTATCTAGTTTGCAAGGCTGTACATCTCTGTGGGAGTAGAAAGCCCTCTTTTTCTCCCACAGAGCAACTGGTGGGTTCAAACTACCAACCCAACAGTCTGCAGCCCAACGCATAACCCGCTGTGCCGTCAGAGCTCCTTGTGAAAAGGAACAGTGTTGAAATAGGCAGGACGGTGCTACGGTGTACCGGGAACAGTTGTGCTTTAGACTCAGCCAGCCTCCCTGTGGTCTCCACCTTGTCCTCCATCTCACGTGGCCCTGACTTGGTGGGCCTGCCCACGTTATTCCTGAATGAACAGGTGAGTTCTCTCCACTGCCGCCTTAGCGACACACACCGCGCACACCTCTTCATTGTGCTGGCACAGCGGTTTCACAGAAGGCCCTCCTCCCAAGTTGCGTTCATCTATGCACCATTTGATGCCAGTCATCTTCTGGGTCTGATCCTGGGAACACCGGGGAAACCCAAAACAGCGTGGTCCCACGCTCCTGGAGCTTGGAGGCCACTGGGGGAAACAGGTCACCTGGAGGAAGCGGAATTGGGAAGGGATGGCGTGCCGGGGAAGCGCATCCAGGGCCTACAGAAAGGCTTGCTTGGGAACGAGGAGGATACAGGGGGTGGGGGTGGGGAGGTATTGCCTAGGCAATGTGGGTTGGTGGGAAAGCTCACTGGGGGAGCAGGGACTGCATGTGTAAAGGCCCTGTGATGGAACCCGAAGAGACCGGTGTCGCTGGAGTCCAGGCAGAAAACAAGCACAGTGGAGTCTGGGGAAAGAGAGCTGAGCAAAGGGGGTGATAAAATCAAGGTTTGCATTTTGAAAAGACCTTTCTAGCACAGGGTGGGAACAGAGCTCAGTAGAGCAGGCGGGGATCTGGGGAAAGCAGGAAGGGACCCCTGGTACTCCAGACAAAGGGCAGCGGCAGTAGAGATGGGGCGACAGGCATTCAAAAGGACCCTTGGACAGACCTTGACTTAGCAAGGGGCTCTGGAGGGGGCAGGTCAAGGGCTCACAGGTTGTAGGGTGGGAAGGGTGGTGTCAGCCCAAAGAAAGCCTCCCTTTGGCACAGGCAGTAGTTCCTGTTGAGTTGCCTTTGAGACAGCCAGGTGGACATAACGGGGGCTTTGGATTTCAGAGAAGTCCAAGGTGAGGGGAATTGGATGGAACCGAAACCCTCGCTGAGATGGCCAAGGAGAGTAACTTGTGAGAACAGGAGAGGGTCCAGAATGCACCTCGGAGGAAGTCTGCCTTGGAAAGGAGGAGACTAAACATGCCCAGGACCCAAGACAGAGCAGTTTGAGGTGGGGAGGAAGCCAAGAGATTGTGAGGTGTGAGCACCAAGGCAAGATGGAGTGATACACAAAACAGTGGGAAGTCCTGCTCTTTGGGACGCAGGCGCCAGAGGCACATTTGAGATCATTCCAAAGTGGGATGGCCCAGAAAGGCTACAGAGTGTAAGGTCCAGCCTTGCAACCGAGTGGGTCCCGAGGAGCGGTGGTGCAATTAAGGAGGGAAATAAAGGCAGCAGACAAAGTGTGCAAGGGCTCACCTCTTCCATGCAGCCAGGAACAAGAGAGCGCGCATGCGTGGGCATGTGTTCTGCAGCAGACATATATATCTTGGGGCTAGCAAGCTTCATCAACCACAGTCAATCACGTATGTAACAAGGTGTGACAGATCAGTGGTCCTCAACCTTCCTCATGCCACGACCCTTTCATACAGTTCCTCATGCTGTGAGCCCCCCTCAACCATAAAATTATTTTCGTTGCTACTTCATCACTGTCATTTTGCTACTGTGATGAATCAGGTGACCCCTGTGAAAGGGTCGTTCGACCACCAAAGGGGTCACGACCCACAGGTTGAGAACCACTGCCTTAGCTGTTCCGGTGGGGGTGGGGAGGTGGAGTAGCCCGATACCAGTCCTGGGGCCGGCAGTGGGGAATCCACCGCTTCTGAGTCGGGAGAACTCAGAACTCCCCTAGAGAAGGGTCTGTGGACCAGCCATGTGCTTGTAAGAAATGATGTTTATAGACGCACCATTAAGGGGGGGGTGGGGGGGGAATATTGTGGGGTATGATTTTTGGGAGGATGTGACTGGGATCCATCTCCAACTCACAGATGCGAAGGCCTCCCTTCCCCAGAGTCTCGGCTTTATTATGAGCGTAGAGCATCTGTCCATTTACACTTCCCTGTCCTCAGTTTCGGCCAACATGGAAAGGGAGTTTTGATTTAGTCCCAGAGGATGGCTCGGATGCCACCAGATGGAAGTCATAGGAGAGGGCATACTGCCAGGTGGGTGAAATGCTTCCAAAGGGATAAACACAGGGCAGCAAGTATAGAGACGGGTCTATAACCTGAAGCATTGACTTTCTGAGCACAGCCACAGGAGATGAAGCATCCGAGTTCCCTTACCACCAAGCTACAGAAACTGGGGAATGCC